ACTTTGTGCAAACTTAAAAATTAAACATAGTAATTATGTCAAAATACCAATATTTTTGTCTAGTTTTCATAATTTGGCTATTGATGAATTTGTTTTATGGAAATCTTTCATTCATTAGTCATAGTTTTAATTCTTACAGCTATCCTATTAAGTAGGAATTGAGTGTCTTCTAAAGGAAAAGCCCGTGGTAAAGAACACACACACACACACACACACACACACACACACCCACACACACACACAGGTTCACACAGCTGGCATAGCACAGTGGGTTACAATACATCATCTAGCAATGTGAGATTCATTTGCCCCAGGACAGCACACCATTAGCACCACAAGAAGCTGTCAATCTAGTCTCCTAGACTGGACAGGCCAGAAGCATATGTTCATCTTCTCTGACATAAATGTGATTGATTTTGGTCCATTAATGAGTCACCTTTACCATGGGCTTACACTGGCAAGGGTATATAACATGTCTCAGCTAGTGTGAACTTCTCCATCTGGTAAAGAAACTTGTTTTACTGACCTAAAACGCTACCCTAGAATGTCCAGAAGAAAAGTTTACGAGCACTGAATAAATTCTTTCTTTGGCCATTTTCTCATTCAATTTCAAGTGGCCAGATCATGGATCCCTTTCCATCAGTCACATAAACCATCGACTAAAGTGGACACATTTTTCTGTGTACTAGATGCTGGAATTTTTGGTGTCATAATCATTGTTTCTGGGGGCAAGTAGTTACTACTGATTGTCTGATTGAGTATAATCATAATATATATATATTTCTAAAAGTCAATGTTCCAGTTATTTATTCTCGGGTGAAATTTATTTGCAGTACTGTTATAAAATATCGTTTAATCTCTTAGGTTTGGCTATAAGATAAATGTATGTCATAATCTGTCAGAAATAAATGAACAAAATTCTACCAAGTACATTGCCTACCCCATTACTTTTGTTGTTGTTGTTTTCGAGACAGGGTTTCCTCTGTGTAACAGGCTTGGCTGGCCTGGAATTCACTTTGTAGACCAGGGTGGCCTTGAACTCAGAGATTCCCCTGCCTTCACTTCCTGAGTGCCTATGTTACCACTGTCCTGCTCTAACCCACTTATTAGCTCAGCATTTGCATATCATTATTACATGAGGGAGATACTGTCTGCTGGTGCTGCTACATTCTAACTGTACAAATACAAATCTATAGAATAGGAAGAATGGATTATTCAATACTGCCTTTTCACATAACTAAAACCTAACATGAATGACTAAGCCAAATACATGGGTGGAGACATTTAATAATGAGCATGGCCATCTCTCCTATTGAAACAACAAAAGCAACCACCAGAGAATAACCCCTGCATGTAACTCAACATTAATAAAATCAACAGGAGGAACACACACACACACACACACACACACATTATATTTTATGCAGGCAACTAAAAACTTGCATTATATCACCAGAAAATTGCCTGATGTAGATATTTGATTAATGAACACAAATGTTTGGATAGATGTCTTAATTACAAATGACACCATACAGTTTTCTAGTATTAAAGTATAAAGAATATGTATACATATACACATAGGTAAATAATTCTAGGTTATAAAACACATTTTTGTAATTTTACTTATTTGAATTTTATGCATTTTATAGAATTAAATGGTATGTACTTAAAAAGGCAAATGGAAATAGGGCTCAGTGGAATATTTTTCCAGCAGAAGCTCTTCAGTAAAAGATACATAAAACACTAATATAACCCGAGGAATAGTTGGCTAAACATAATTTTCTGACTTACAAACATATATCATGTGAAATTTCAGCATGTAAAGAGGATTTTGGTAACAGCAAGACAATAAAAATCATATCTCTAGCAATTTACAAAGTATACTGTTCCAGGGGTGGTTTTAAGAGAGTGTAAGCCATGTGCATTTGTTAGTTCTTTAGCTCCTTTATTGTTATTAGCTTAACCTAGAGTGGGAGAAAACATCAATAAACAACGTAGTGAAAATGGGTCATTCCCATGTGCCAAAACAAGAGTCACCGCATGGATGAGGAAAAGGCTAATGAGACCCCAGCTGTAACTGAGGAACTATTATTGGCTGTTGGTGGCCACTGGGGGAGAGAATGATTATTTTGGGGGGGCAGGGATGTAGTCATTAGGTACCCTATTCTCCAGTGGATGGCTCCACACCAAAGTGCACACAAGAAGCACTAATTAGCCTTGGTAGAGCTCTAAGAAGAAAAAGAAGGGAGGGAGGAAGGAAGGAAGGGAGAGGGATGAAGTTGAGAAGGAAATGTTTTTATGACGTAGTAGGGTGGATATTAAAAATATGTTGTATATATGAAACTTACCAATAATAGACAAAGTGTTTAATGCGTGTCTGTACTGAACAGTCTGTTTTTCTTGTCATCTGTCCCTAGGGTATAACAGCTATATAAATAGCATTTTCAATGTATTAGGTATTATAAAATAATTCAAAGTCAATTAAAATTCTCATGGGGATGTGTATAGGACAAGTCTTCAAACAAATCCCTTACGGATATCAACAGATAAACAGACCCGTACTTCATAACTCAAAAGTTCTTTGGACTAAGAATAGTGTGTCTGTAATTGGACTTTTGTGGAGCCTCTTGGTCATTCTAGTAAGTGAATTAGGCTGAAGTCTTATTTTCTAGCTATGAAAAAAATAGATTTCTGAACTTGGATTCCATTGCCTGTAAACGGAACACCTGGAAGTCAACACACAACATGCTATTCTTCAGAACCAATATTATTATTTTTTTACCATAACCATGTGTTCTTGGTAGATATGAAATTTCTCATAATTTCCTGAATTATTTAGTCTACAATCAGTGCATTGTGTCACTCAAAATCATCAAATTTTAAACATGATAAAAGGAGAAACTATGAGAATTTAAGAAGAAATGAGTTTTTAAAGTAATTATATACTTATTCTTCCACAGGGAATTGATATTCAAATATAGTTGGTTGATTTTGTTAAAAAAAATGCATTGGAAGCAATCCAAGAATCCTGTGCTCTTGTCACACCAAACTGAAGGGCTGTGACAGACTTTTCTTTATCGCATAGCCAAAGTCAACCACAAGACCTTACTCATCCTATGAAAAACAACATGTTTTATAGATCAGACACAGACATAATTTATGTGTTTTATTCAGCTTGCAATACCAAAAAGGATCATTTAATGTCTAATAAGTAGTAATCAAAGCAGAATCTTCTAGGCATAAAGGTAACTAGGTGAATATTAAATCTGACTATAAACCATCAGGAATGTGATCCTCATGAAAACAACTGTCTTTTCTCTTTCAACATATTTAAAGTAGTCTCTATAATTGTTTCCACCTTACGGTAGAAGGGGATGCTTGAATGCAACACTCAATAAACATAAGGAAGCAGAAGGAAAATCTTAGGAGCAAAATATACTGAATGTGTGTTCTTTTTAAATGTTTGAATAGCATATATTAATTATACACAATAATGGATTCCATTATGGCATTGTGGCACATGTACATAATGTATTTTGTTCATATTCATTCTGCGAGAAACTGTTTATTACCATGAAATATCAACTATGTTCAGAGGGTGAAAAAACAAGTTTTAAGGATATTGGTGACTAAATTATAGAAAGCATATTATGCTTTGCTTAGTTTCACTGATTTCTATAGATAAAATCCTACCAATTAACCAAAAAGTACATAAAAATAATACTTAAAGATATAGTCTGACAATAACTAAAGCAAAACCATTCAAGGGATTTCTAAAAGACCATTGAAAATGGTTATAATTTTAATGTATTTTTTCCTCAATTGCTCAATTTCTCTCTCTCTCTCTCTCTCTCTCTCTCTCTCTCTCTCTCTCACACACACACACACACATACACTTCACTGAGGGAAAGTAATTATCATGTAGCTTACAACATGTGTAATTTGTCCTGTAATTATAGAAGATACTCATTGTCTCTATAAATACTTCTAGGAGAGGCAAATAACTGATCACTGCCAAGAATGCTAGACACAAACCATGCTGGCTGATTTGAGACTACCCTTTCCACCTGCTGAAGCTGTAGGATTGTACAGGAAAGATTGCTTACATGTTTTTCAAAGACTACAAGATGACTAATAATTATGTCTTAGCATAAAACACCACTTAAAGGTATAAAATGCAAGTTCAATTTTGTGAGAGGATGATATGATGACACTTAGGTTACAAGGATGTCCTTGGTTTTCCAAGGCACATAGTCTACTAGTATCCACTCTCCTTTGACCCTCAGTGTACCCATGGGCTACATCCACCGGGTGGAGGAGCTCCTGCTCTGCCAGCAGGAACTCAGGGATGAATGGGGTAACTTCTTATTAAGGTTCTCACTTGTGACTAAGTGCCTTTAAAAAAAAAATGCTTCTGGTCTGAAGATTTCTCTATAATCTTCTTGGTAACCTTGTAACACTGATAAAAATGTCTACTGTAAGGTGACCCAAGGCATTTAAAAGGCTTGTGAGTGAGTTTCTTGTATATCGCCCATATGTTTATACCACCCCAACATTACACATTTTGGAATAATTCCGATTTTAGTGTGTGCTCTCTTTTCTGTAACAGTTAGCTCTTTTTTTTCCTTCCTTTTTAATTTTTTTTAATTTCACCCCAGGTAAAATTCCACTAATAAACCAGTGTCCATGCTAACAATACTTTTAGTCAGAGACATAGTCACTGTGGACCAATCACACCGTAACATAAAAATACAATGTCCAATAAATCTTTGCCTCTTTTATATATAAATGGAATACATTTAACTAAAAATGCCTGACCACTAAGTAACTTTAGAACAATTTCTGTCAATCACCAATATATAAAAGCCACTCTGATGCAAATGTTTTTAGTGTCACAACAAATTATTGTGTATGTTGTACAGAACACACAAAAACTAAATGTCGCATTAAACTGTATCAGGAGTATTAAATCACCCTTACAAACATATAGAAAGGATTACCTTTTCACCAGTTTCCCCTTTGATGCCTTCAAGTCCTTGTTCTCCCTGTAAAAGAGGAGCATGGTGTAAAGTGATAAGAATACTTCTTACAGTTCATGGAATTTTCAAAATAATAGCGATGTTTCTAAGAATAAAAAGGACCAGCGACTTTAGTAATTCCCTGCGATATGAATCTCTAAGCCAACATTAACAACACAAAGTCTGAAAAAGTACAAAGTACTCAAGGAGAAGCTTTTTAGGTACCTCCCTACCTTCTAGAAAAATTTCCTCCCCATAAAGCCAGGAACATCTGAGAATGGTACCATCTAGATTTTCTTTGAGAATTCAATGAAGCAACATAGCCTGTGTTTGCCATTCTTGTTGTTACTAGCATCTCATTAACCCCAGAAGACACAGGCTTCTTTGAAACCTACCTTCCACATGAGTGACTAATGAGAGGTTCACGATGAGTGGGCTTAGAATTGAACCTGCGAGTCCTGAGCCTAACCCCAGTCCCCGGGCCTGCAGCCCCAGGTTCCTCTCCTGTTCTGTTCATGTGACTCAGTCACACATTCTCTGTGCCGTTTAGACATTCTCAAAACCTACAAACTGCAAGCGTTTCTTTGCCTCAGTTGAACCCTTTCCAATTTCATAACTTTAATTTCTGATTTAATTTGTTATAAATAGATGGATGATGTTACCATCAAACATTTAGTAAACGCTCACTGAGAGCCTCCTGTATGTCAGGGACCTCCAGTTGCATAGCTGGGAGGTGAATGTTAGAGATGGGTTTTATCTGCCGTCCACTCACCGGGGGGTAAAGGCACAAGGCAGCCAGCCAGTATCTTCTTTTTCTATATAATTCACTTATTCATCTAAGTTTCATTCTGCATTCCAACCCCAGTTATCCCTCTGACCCCTCCTCCCATGCCTCCATTGCCTTTCCTCCAGCCCACCCCCCACCTAATCTTAAGAGACCCATATTTGTGTTTCTTTGTTTTGCTTTTCTATTTAAGGTTTTTTTTTTTTTTTTTTTTTAAGGTTTTACGTGGGCCAGGCTGTCCTTCAGTTTCCCTGTGTAGGTCACAAACACCTGAGATACCAGACAAACACATGCCATCAGACCTAGCTAGAGATGAGAAGTTTGTGATCTCAAGTTTTCGGTACTTCCTCCACAAAGTGGCACATGGCATAATTAAAATCCACATGTATTATACAGATTATATCTAGATGAGCTCTCATCTAGATATAATTTATGAGTTTATTAGCATATGTGTACAGTCAAACAAATACATGTAACGTGTAGAAACATGATTAAATTGTAATTTTCTGCTCCCATTATTCTAAAAACCCTATTGGCAAACAATAGATTAGTTATTGGTAATTTTTTTTTTACCACTAATGCACGGGCCTACCTTTCTTTTAATAGTCTTTGCCTCAGATATAGAATCTAACTCCATCTGGTAATTCAAGCTGACACTGAAGCTGCTAAACGCCTCTAGCGCACTGGCCACGAAGCCGGCATGATGCAGCCACCACAAACAGCTGCTGGAAAGTCCAAAACTATTTCCCAGCAGATAAATCTGCATACCCCTTGGCTTGAGACTCAGCTCACAGATGTAGCACATGCTGTACCGGTGGGCTTTGTCTAGAACTGCTGTGAAGGGACTCGGAAGCATGTGGTTTCATGGCTCCTAGTCCAATCTTATTATCTCTATGCGGTTAGGTAAAGAAACGGTTTTAAAGCTGTAGCTACAAATGAAAGCATATTTTTTCAAGGGACATTTCCAGCTTTGGGAAAACAACACCTAGATGCATAGCAAGTTCAGACATTTTGTTATTAAGACCTGTGATGCTTTGCCACAGTATAGAAATGACAGGTTTGGCTTTGGGGGACATCTTAAAATTGCACCAATAATGCTCTCCCCTGTGGAGGGATTGTCTGGGCTGTATCTTGACAGCTGGCCCCACCTGAAGTGACTCCTCTTTCCTCCAGGAGTCTGGAGTATATTTGTTTCTGGGCATCCAGTGATGCTTGGCACATACCGTTGAGTTTGTTCCCAGAGAGAAAAAGCGGTCCTTGGAAAGATAGTAAAGGATCCAGAAGAAGTTCATATTGGTGAAGAGAACAATGCCAGGCACAGAAAAATGTACCATGGACGGTGAAAAACTTCTCCTTCATCATGAGTATGAATGTACCATTCTGGAGGGTATTTTATTATTTATAGAGGATTTGATCCATAGCCTCATACAGGCTAAGTAAATACTCGGCACTGAGCAGGCTTTTTTTTTGTTTGTTTGTTTCATTTTGATACAGGATTTCACTAAGCTGTCAAAGCTAGCCTTGAACTCACTCACTTTGTAGGCTGGCACTCTGCAATATTCCTGCTTCAGCCTCCTGAGTAGCATTGCCAGGCAAAAGCAGAAAGGTATGTTTGAAGAGCTTAGTTATGTATGATCCTTGCACTGTTAGATAATACATGTCACTGTGAACATTTTGCTTAACCCAATCTGAGAAGCACAACACATGCAAATAGAAACTAACGGCAGAAAACACTGCTCCATTGTTCACTCTGATTGATTTAAGAAAAAAAAAAAAAGTTGCCGGTGAAGCGGTGTAGCCTTAACACTTTTGTGGCATTTAGAAGGCATCACTATTGATTCTTCAGGAAGGCATGCTGTTAACACCCTGAAACAAATCTTTCCTTGAGAGGTCTCTGACAAGTAAATGCTTCTATGAGTCCTCCTTGGAAAGAATGGTTTATTAGCTTAGTTTGTAGGAAACATTTATAAAAACCCATTACCTTTTGACCAAGTAAGCCTGGAATACCATGTAAGCCATTTTCACCCTAAAAAGAGTAACCAAAATAAATCGTATTAGCCACAAATGATACTGAGAAAGACCCCTTCTCACACACATTTTGTTGTTGTTGTTGGTTGTGTTTTCTGTTGTTGCTGTTGTTTGTTTTGAGACAGGGTTTCTCCTTAGCCCTGGCTGTCCTGGAACATACTCTGTAGACCAGGATAGCCTTGAACTCAGAGAGATCTCTCTGACTCTACCTCCTAAGTGTTGGGAAAGCTTCAGGGTTATGAGGAAAGCTAACATTTTTTTTCTGGATATCTATCACATGTAGGTTCTTCCAACTTTCTGTTATGTCACAACTCCAGGAAAATCTCCTTAAATTTTAAGGTAAAGAGATCAGGGCTCTGAGATGTTAAGTACTAATCTCACAGTCTCAGGATTATCCAATTTGTAGTATCACCTAATGTGTCTAATGAGTGTGCATATTCCACATGCTAGTTAGTAATCTCTCTTTTTCTTTCTTCCTTTCTTTCTTTCTTCCTTCCTTCCTCCCTCCCTTCCTCCCTCCCTCCCTCCCTCCCTTCCTTTCCCCATCCCTGTTTTTCTTTTTCTTTGCTTTAAAACCGCTGGGTAAATTAACAAATGCTTTCTGTGGGGTAGGCATTGTTTCCTGAATACTTATCAGAGAGTTGCTAGTCTCATAATCATTTTATTTAGATGGGCACACAATGACTGGGCTTAAAACTATTGCCCTTCAGCTGTAGCCAATGTCCTAGCAACCAGTTTAGTTTTGTTTTATAAGTGTCTTCTTCCCTAGTATGAGATATCACATACACACATATACATACTCTTATCAGATTATGGACATGCTTATTTCCTTATCTATATCTGTTGATTGCTGTGGAGTCAGTTCTAAAGTCATACCAAAGGCAATTTTACATGGAACAGCTCCCTTTCCTGTCATGGGCATGAATATTTTCAGCAGATGCCTATCAGGTTCCGTTACTGGAATTCTTGGCCATTATGTTGACAAGTTTGCTCTGTGAAGAGCACACCAGTTAGAAGGAGATACTCCATGAGGGGGGAGGGGGTTGTAGGCATTCTCAGTAAACCCTCCGGCATTTACTTCAGTCTAGGAATTTACCATGGCTCCCAACTGTCCAGACTCGGGGAGCTCAAAATAAGCTAACAATGCTGTGATCTGCTCTATTTCTGTGAAATAGTCATAAAATTCACTTAATAACAGTTTTTAAGCACTACCAAAATATGCAGGTTTCATTTCTCAGAATTATTTGAAGGTAGTTAAATATATTGAGAAGACCAACACCATATCTTCAGATTTTAAAATAAAAATGAGGTACTCTACCTAAAGATTGAGATCTTAATTTTATTGCTAATACATTTTTGAAAAGTTTTACTGTTTTTTTTTCTTCTTTCATTTTTTTTTTCAGTCAGAAGTGTACTACCATATAGATGCACGCAATATTTTAAGAGCTAAGGTTTTCCTTTGTTTAGACTGAATTATCAAAGTATTCTATAGTGTAGCTGCTGTTGTCGTCCTAAGGGTAAAACTTAGCTGTGACATGTAATTACACGTGGAAGCATCAAAAATAGTCTATTATCAGTGTACTAAGCATTTCTACCACAGTTCTTCACCCGAGCCACCAGGCAAGACTAGCAGAAAGCTGCAGTAACATCGGATAAGGAGCTAAGGAAATCGCATTAAGTATCTGACCCCGAGGAACATGCAATGGAAATGGAGCTTCTATTTCTCATCACTGAAGTATGTCCACTTGTCCCTAAGAAGCAGATTATTTTCCTAGGTTGATCCAATATAGCATTTTGTATCATATTGCAAATTACTCAGGATAACAAGATACAGCATATAATCCGCTAAAGCACAATGATACGGGATTTACCCGGCAAACAGCCCATTATGGAGAAAAGGGCGTGGTGACAGTTCGTCCTGTCTTCTTGGCTAGCAGCCAACTTTTATATATCACGTGCCCAGAGTGCTGGTACGGGTGTGTCTTTAGTTGATGTTCTGTGATAAGGTGTCCCCTATGGTAAGTGTTAATTGAGCTCTCATCTTTCCCGACCCAGAGATTTAAAACCATTTCTAAATGTCATTAGTCTATCAGAGGAGTGTGAGCATACTGGTCCCCATGGCATCTCAAAAGTCGGGGGGAATATATGAATCACCACACAAACTTAAAAGGACATAATTCAAGTCCTGATGGCAAGTGCTGATTCTATAAAACTTTATTTAAAACACTTATGCCAATAGCAGAAATCCTCTTAGTATTTATTCTGAAACACAGGAGCAAAGCCCAGAGAAGTACAGGCAGTCAAGGTAAACTCGATTTTACTTAAAAATCAGTACTTGCCTAACACTATTGGAAGGACACATGTCTGCTTTACGTGTGTGTGTGTGTGTGTGTGTGTGTGTGTGTATGTGTGTGTGTGTGTGTTCCTGAGTTCCTTCTACCTTTTTCTCCCAGTATCATCCTAAAGGAGGCATAGATGCTTCTCTTTGATCTTTCAATAAAGATTTTAGTTCATTGTTGGAAAAAGATGATCAATAGTTTCAAAGAAATCATACTATTCTAACCTCTTTTCTGAGGATTTTCTTTCTATCAAAAGCCTTTTAATTCCTGGAACACACTTGGTAGGAGGAGAAAAGTGACTTCCAAAAGTTGCCCTATGACCTCTTGTGTGTACTGCTCACACATGAAAACACACTCTCCCCAGACTAAGTAATACATAAACTGTACTGATAGTCACCAAACATCATTATAAGCTTCCAGTTAACTTTTTCTGTCTGATTCCTGTTACGGAGCACAAACAAAAAAGACACATGTATACTTACTGAGTTAAAGCTTTCTGAACCTAAAGTTTAACCCACTCGTCTTATTTCTGTTATCCTAAATTATGGGAGGGAAAAAAACCCTTCTAGATCTTATACGTGACATTCAGTTGGGTAACTATCAAGCTTCCATTCAATAAAGCACTAGTGATAGTATGGAGTCTTAATAGTATGACAATACTGTCTGGGTATACACTGGCCAGTCAATACTTGTCTTAAAATGTGGCTTTCAAAACTCAGCATGTTATGTTAGAAATGGTCCCACACAGAACAGAAAACAAGGCTATACCCTACACACACACACACACACACACACACACACACACACACACACACACAATGCTGTTTGGGATGCTAAAGTGTTCTATTAATATAATTTACTTCTAAAAATGTATTTGCATATATTGACTTTGTAACCAAGTATAAACACTGCTAATACTTCCTTTCAAAGGAAAAAAAATATATTTCCAAGTCTTTTTCAAATTAGTCAAATGTAAGCTATATTGAGCTTAAAAAAAAAAAAAAGCGCTAAACAATTTAGAAATTATCTCCCTAGTGAAGTTAGGGACACAGCGACTTTTGTAGGACCTTATATAAATCTGGGGTCCTATGAAATTGATATGATTTTTTTAAAGTAGATCTTTCAGAAATAAAGATTTGGGCTTATTATATTGTCAAATATAGGTCAAAGACAGTCTCAATAAAATTGAAACTGCAAAACCATGGTAGGAGAATGAAGACATTTAATCTGTGTCATTTACTGAAAGATCTGATGTGTGGTAAGTGACACCTGCATCGAATAGTCCACCAAGTTAAAGAAGACAGATATAGAGCACAGTGCTGTCAGCCAGCTCCTCGTTGAAGACAGGGAGATACCAGCCGCTGCATACCATTTCCTGTCCAGAGTATTCCTCCTCGTGATGAGTAATTTATAGTGTGACTCCGTATCAGTTACCTCTACTAGAGCTTAGTTGTGCTAAAGCCAGCAGTTAACTTACGTTTAGCCTTGCAGTAAATGATCATGGAGCCTTTGGAGGATGAAAATTTCCTAGCGATAATAAAAAACCAAGGAGATTTTTTTTTCAATTTGAGACTGGGTGGAAAAGAAAGCCAGATAATGAAGACTGGCTATGCTTAAGAGAGCAGGAAGGGCAGGTGACTAGGAAACCAGAAGCAAACTCTGGAGCTGTACACACTGTCCCTATCATATTTCATTCTAGGAAGCAGACCTCTAAGCTGTGTTAGGTAGAGAGTCCCCTTCCCCCCTACTTCCCTGAAGTTTGCTTCTGCATAAAGCCTTGGGAGTTCTTACAAATGCACCTTTCCCATCCATCCCTCAACATAGTTGTGCTGATGAAGAGAGTGCTAGAGAGCAAGAGACCACACCTCACTCTTTTGCTCTTCCTGGTTCAATCCCCCACCCCCCAGCCCCAGCCCCTGCACCTAAAGCCACGCCCAAAGAGGTGTGGCCACTGTCACTGTTACAGATTCACAGACAAGAGGCTGCTACATAATTGTCAAACAGCTGTCTTTTATTTCCCTCCTGTACTTTGGAGTTAAGTTTCCTTGAGTTCTGCATAATTCAGCTAGCACCTATGAAGACTCTATCAGCATGGGTGTCCTCTGTTGGTCCAAGTATAGGCATCACAGAGATGAGATGGACAATGATTCCTTCTATTCCAGGAGCTCCCAGGGCTACATATGCATAAATACTGGTGATGAAAACAAATTACTATGTGAGGAGAATGGAGGAGCTTCTAATTTTGCTTACTGGACCAAAAGATTTCATTGAAACAAACAAACAAACAAAAAATCTGCATGAACTTTGAATGTGGTAATCTGTGGTGATGATGATGATAAAAGATCAAAATATCAATCATCTTCAATTTTCAAATTTACCTGGCAGTTTTACCTCCTGTCATATACTGGTGCAATTGGTCCTGGCTTGGCTGGCTGAAAGATGTTTCAGAGGGAAGCACGTCAAGAAAACTGTACTGTCTAAACTCATAATTGTCTTAAACAACAGCAGTTATGTCTTTAAATCCACTGTTGGGTATATTAGTAACCTCCACCAAGACTAATATAATTAGCCACTAAGCTATGTGAAGAATCAATGTGTGATCCTTTGCCAGGTAATCTTTTAGTATTTATATACTAGATACCAAGTATGTGTTAAACCC